CCCAACTGCCCCCCTCTGCAGGCCTGGTCACCCCTAACTGTCCCCCTCTGCTGGCCTGGTTGCCCCCAACTGTCCCCCCTGCCAGCCAAGTCACCCTTCACTACCCCCACTGCCAGCCTAATCGCCCCCAACTGCCCCCCCCGCCAGCCTGGTCACCCCCAACTGCACCCCCCCACTGGCCTTGTTTTTCCTAACTGCCCCCACCCCTGCTGGCCTAGTCGCCCCTTATGGCACCCCACCCACCAGCCTGGTCACCCCACGCAGCCTGCTGTTCAGTCGTTTGGTCGTCCCTCACTAACCTCCCCTACCAGCCTGGTTGTAGGCAGCCATCTTGTGAGGGTGTGAGGGTTAATTTGCATATTGCCTCTTTATTATATAGGATGATCTGTCCCCATCACTAGAGCGTAATCCTCTGGAGAATGGGTGTCTAGAGCTGGGCCTGCTAGGTGTTGGTAGAACTGGTGGGTGTGCAGTATGGGTTTGCTGGAGGAGGGGATGGAGGGAGGGAAGAAGGAAGGGAGCCCCTGCGCCCTGCCCCCTCTGCAGAGGAGCTCCTGCTGCAGTGCAGAGACCTGGCCTCGCCCTGCGTCTCCTGCGGGCCGACTGCCTCACATGGGCCTGGAGCTGCTCCGGCGGATCCAGGAAAGGCTGCTCGCCATCCTGCAGCATTCCACCCAGGTAGGCTGCCCCGCCTGGTCCTCCCGTGCCCAGCACCCAGAAGGAGACCTGGGGGTGTCCCAGCTCCTGGGCCAGCCTGCTGGGTGCTGTTGGACCCTGTCACTTAACCTCCTGGCATTTCTTACAAAATAAAGAAGTTAGGCCCTGACCGGTTTGGCTCAGTAGATGGAGCGTCGGCCTGCAGACTGAAGGGTCCCGGGTTCGATTCCGGTCAAGGGCATGTACCTTGGTTGCGGGCGCATCCCCAGTGGGGTGTGTGCAGGAGGCAGCTGATCGATGTTTCTCTCTCATCGATGTTTCTAGCTCTCTATCCCTCTCCCTTCCTCTCTGTAAAAAAATCAATAAAATATAAATAAATAAAATAAAATAAAATAAAATAAATAAATAAATAGAGTTAGCCCAGACCCTTGCTCTGCAGAATCAGTTGGGGAACTTTTTCAGACATACTTCCCAGATGTGGATTCAGAATCCCAGGAGTGGGGGTCAGGGGGGTGGGGTCCACTGAGTAAGGGAGCTGAGTCTTTCCAGCTGTAATACGCTGACGTTGAGTATGAACCAGGAGTCCCACCCTCAGGGAGCGTACAGACTGACAAGTCACGAGTAGGAAAGGCATGAGCATACACTGAGCTCCTGAAGCAAGGCCGGTGTGCTGACCTGTGTCCTGTGTCCCTGGAGACACCTCTGGTGCTGTGGTGAGGGAGGGAGAGCAGGTGGGAACGTCCTGCCAGGAGCATGGCGCCTAGTAGGCCCTTGGAGAAACGCTGAGCAGAGGCCCAGTGGCCTCTCCTCTCCTACTCCCCTGTCCTCCGTCTCTGCCAGGACTTTCGGGTTGGTCTCCAGAGTCCATCGTTAGAGGCCCGGGAGGCGAAAGGGTCCAACGTGCCCAGCAGTCGGTGAGTATGGGCGGAGCCCCGGAGGGGGGTGGGATATGGCAGGCCTCCCCTGGGGCTGAGCAGCTCTCTCCCTATTGGTGGCGATCTGTCCCCCCAGGCCCCGGGGCTCCTCGGGGCTGGAGACGGATGAGGAGGAAGGCGAAGATGACATGCCCGAGTGGCAGCAGGACGAGTTCGATGAGGAGCTGGACAACGACACCTTCTCCTACGACGAGGAGTCCGAGAACCTGGACCGGGATGCTTTCTTCTTCGGGGATGAGGATGAGGATGAGGGCTACGACTGAGGGGCAGGATGCAGGGAGCTCCCGGAGCCGCCCAGAGCCGTGGGGCCAGGGGCCGGCAGTTCATCCCTGACCACTGTCCTGGGTGCTCGGCGGGGGCGGTTCCCAGCATCTGCAGCACCTTCTTCTGTTTACTGAATAAACTTTTTCATATACTTCTCTGAAGCGGGCCCGTTCTCACTCCCCTGCTCCCCGCACACCCACCCCTCCTCTAGTTTTCTCTAGACCTCCAGACTCTTCTGTTGTCAGAGACGGCCCAAAGCTGACCCTGTGACCTAGGCTGGTAACGGGAAATGAAGGTCCATGTGGCACAGGCTTGCCACTTGCCCCAGACCCAGCCCAGCATCAGAGGAGACGGGACGGCCATCCCCTTGGTCGGCCTTCCTCTAAACTCCTGAATGTTCCTGGGAGGGGCCTGCGCATTAGGAAGGGCCCTCTTGGGGGCCTGCAGACTTCTACAGGTTTTCCCTGCATCTCAAAGTGAAGTGTGTTGGGGGGAGTGGGGGGACGGGGGGAGGACATTACTGAGGCCCTGCCCACCCCACCCCACACACAGACAGAAGTTGGAAGTGTAGACATGCCTTTTAATTTGTACTGGGCTTTAGGCAGGACTGGTACAGAGCAGAGTCAGGGATCTGAAGAATTTAATGACGGGATCAAGTCAAGTGGTTGGGTCAAGGGAGGAAGCCACCTGCTCAAGAGGATTCGCTGCAAAGTATCGGTCCAGCATGACCTCCACCTCTCCCACTTCGTAGTCCCACACCTGGAACCGGCAGCCGTCTGCTGCTCCGCGGATCATGGCTGAGAGCACTGGGGGGCAGAGGCAGGTGAAGTGCCTCCCGCACTCCCTCCTCTGCCCTCTCCTGCCCAGCCCTTGTTGGGGACAGACACTACTCGGAGCCCCCAAGAAAGGGAGCTGAGGGCTGGGTGCTCAGCTGGGGCGGGGGGGAGTGGCCATCCAGGGCTTGGAGTGCTCACCTCGGCCAGACTCCAGGCGGGACAGGCACAGGATTCGCTTATTGAGGGCCATGGCCCGGCCCACCTCATAGCCTACACCCAAGGACGGCTGGGTCACTTCCGCCACGATCACTGGGAAGAAAACGAGACTGAGGCTCAGTATCTGGGCTTGTGAGAGAGAGATGGCGGGGAGGGGGGAGGGGGAAGGTCAGGCGTGTCCAGGGAATTAACACCCAGAGGAGCGCACAGGGAGGAGCGGGCACTCACAGTCTGCCCGCTGCAGCAAGGCCAGGTCCCGCTCGTGGATGAACCTGTCACCCTCAGCAGGCTGTTCCCCTGTGGATGAGGGAAAGCTGGTCAGGGCCGCACCCTCATCTGGTCCTCTGCCCGCCCAGCCACCCCCACATCCTCCCTGCTCAGGGAGGGAGGGAGATAACTAGATGACCTCTGAGGGCCTGCCCAACACTAAAAGTCTATGAAAAGGAGGGAATGGAATAGCCACAAGAAAAAAAACAGCCCTCTGCAAGCTGGGATGTATGACACGGGCCAGATGAGTGAATTTAATTAAAAAGTTCCGCTTGCATCTATAGATGCTTATGGCATACAAATGGTTAAGTGGGCCAGAGTGATTACAGGTGGAGAGGAGGAGGAAGAGCATCCAGGTGGGGGAAATGGCAGGCAGGAGCAAGGACTGGTCCGCGCAAGGAAAGGACAGAGGGAGACAGACTAAAGCCTCATGGAGTGGCTCTCACGCTTTGGTAGGTTCCAGAATCACCTGAGAACTTGATGAAACTACAAAGACCCAGGTGTCAGTGGGCTCAGCTGCTTCATTCCCACCAAATTTGAGAACCACTGCCGGAATGCAAGGTGGCCTGTTGGGGGTGGTGGGAATCAAGGTAGAGGCAGCCTGGGGAAAGGGTACGGAGCTTGGCGTTCGGCTTGATTACATGTCCCGCGTTAGGACTGTAAGGCTCACAGCTACCTGCACCGGAGCAGAGTCACTGGAGAACTTGCTCGAAAGAGCTTCTAAGGCTTCATCCCAACCATGGGATCTGCATCTTGAACAAGCTCCTCAGATGACAGCTGAGCACACTAAGCCTGAGAACCACCAGGCAGGCGTGGACACACCCTGAGACCATGAACCATGAGCTTAGGGTCCCTCGTACAGGCCCTTCCCAACAGCCCCGGCAATTTTGTTTTTTTAAAGAGGTCTCCCAGGACTGCATTAAGTCCCACCAATCCTGGATCTGCTCCTGAGTAACACATCACACTTCCTGATTTCAAGTTATATTATAAAGTAAAACAATCAAAACAGTATGGTATTGGCATAAAACCCAATGGAACAGAATCAAGGGCCCAGGAATAAAGCCACGCATGTACACTCAACCAACATTTGACAAGCGAGCCAAGAATACTCAGTGGAGAAAAGACTCTCTCTTCCGTAAACGGTGCTGGGGAAACTGGGCATTCACATGTAACAGAATGAAACTAGACCCCTATTTTACACCACTCACAAAAATTAACTCGAAATGGATTAAAGATGTAAATGTAAGACCAGAAATGATAAAACTCCTAGAAGAAAACATGGGAAAAAGCTCCTTGACTTGGATCTTGGCAATGGTTTTTTGGATATGACACCTAAGGCACAAGCAACAAAATAAAAAATAAACAAGGGGGACTACGCCAAACTAAAAAGCTGCTTTCTGCACGGCAAAAGAAATAATCAGCAAAACGAAAATACAACCTACAGAATGGGAGAAAATATCTGCAAACCATGTACTGACAAGGGTTAATATCCAAAATACAGGGTGGGGCAAACGGAGGTTTACAGTTGTGAGTACGTGAAACACAGCTATTCTTATATTATTATTATATTATTTTCCATATAAACAACTGTAAATGTACTCCCCCCCACTTTTATTAAAAACAAAACAAAACCTCATACAACTCAGCAGCAAGAAAACAAATAATCCAATTAAAAACTGTCAAAGGACCTGAAAAGACGTTTTATCAAAGAAGATGCATGAATGGCCAACAGATACATGAAAAGGTGTCCAACATCACTAGTCATTAGGGACACGCGAATCAAAACCACAATGAGCCCCAGCCAGTTTGACTCAGTGCATAGAGAGGAGCCCTTCGGACTGAAGGGTCCCAGGTTTGATTCTGGTCAAGGGCACATGCCCGGGTTACAGGGGGGTGCGTGCAGGAGGCAGCCGATCAGTGATTCTCATCACTCTCTCCCTCTCCTTTCCTCTCTGAAATCAATAAAAAAATATTTTTAAATAAGAATGCTATTTTCTACCTGGTTTTGCTCAGTAGATAGAGCATTGGCCTGTGGACTGAAGGGCCCTGGGTTCGATTCCAGTCAAGGGCACATGCCCGGGTTGCAGGCTCAACCCCCAGTTGGGGGAGTGCAAGAGGCAGCCGATCAATGATTCTCTCTCATCATTGATGTTTCTATATCTATCTCCCTCTCCCTTCCTCTCTGAAATCAATAAAAATATATATTTTTAAAAACAAACAAACACAAAAACACAGTGAGCCCTGGGCATATAGCTCAGTTGGTGAGAATGTTGTTCCAATATGCTAAGGTTGCAGGTTTGATCCCCAGTCAGGGCACATACAAGAATCAACCAATGAACGCATAAATAAGTGGAACAACAAATCGATGTTTCTCTCTCCCATCCCCTTTCTCTAAAATCCACAAAAAAATTTAAAAAATAATAAATCAATAAAAAATATTAAAAAACCCACAGTGAGATACCAATTCACATCTGTTGGAACAGCTATCATAAAAAAAGACAAGAAATAACAAATGCTGACAAGGATGTGGAGAAAAGGGAACTACTACCCTAACCGGTTTGGCTCAGTGGATAGAGCGTCAGCCTGCGGATTGAAGGGTCCCAGGTTCGATTCCTGTCAAGGGCAGGTACGTTGGTTGCGGGCGCATGCCCAGTAAGGGGTGTGCAGGAGGCAGCTGATTGATGTTTCTCTCTCATTGACGTTTTTAACTCTCTATCCCTCTCCCTTCCTCTCTGTAAAAAAATCAATAAAATATATTTTTAAAAAATAGAACTACCATACGACCCAGCAATCCCACTTTGGGGAATATAACTGAAGGAAATGAAAACACTGTTGGAGTGATGTTCGAAGCATCACCCACAATAGCCAAGACATGGGAAATAAGTGTCTACAGGTGGATGAATAAAGAAGTTGTGGTGTATAGATACAATGGAATATCATTCCGCCATGAGAAAGAAGGAATGCCCATTTGGAAAAACACGGAAGGACTTTGAGGGCACTATGCTAAGTGAAATAAGTCAGACAGAGTGTATGATCTCACTTATATGTAGAATCTTAGCGCTAGCGCACGTGCCACACACACACACACACACACACACACCACCACCACCACCTCCACCACCACCAACAACAACAACAAAACAGAAAAACTGAAACTCCTAGCAAAAAAGATCGGATTTGTGGTTACCAGAGGTGGGGGACAGGAGATGGGGAAATTGGATAAAGGTGGTCAAAAGGTACCAACTTCCGGTTATAAAATACGTTCTAGGGCTGTAATGTACATAACGACCACAGTATGGTTTTTTCAAATTTGTTAAGAGAGATCCTACGAGTTCTTATCACAAGGAAAGGAATTTTTTCACGAGGTGACTGATGGTAACTAAACTTTTGTGCTAATCCTTTCACGCTGTATCAGTGGCAGGCCCAGAAATCAGGATTTTTTAAAGATTCCCAGGTGATTCTAATGTGCAGCCAAGGTTGAGAACCACTGCTCTATATGAAAGTCGAGCCAATAAACTGTCCCCCTTAGACCTACACGGTGCTCTATGTCAATTACCGCCCCGTAAAACTGGGGAGAAGGAAAAGGACCCGGCGGCCCGGAGCAGAACACGCAAGTCCCAGCCGGACCGCAGGGGAGGGCGACAGTGGAGGCGGAGCGCGGTGCCTGCGGCGTCTAAGGGCTGGCACCTGGGGCGGGGGCGCAGGAAGGAGGATGAGCGTGGTCTCAGGTGGGGGAGAAGGTATCAGCGGGACGTGGAAACCCAAGCAGCCCCGCCTGCGCCCCCTCTGCCCCCCCTCGCACCCCCGCCCCAGCTTCCCTGGAAAGCGCTGGAGAAAGTGCTCCAAGAAGGAGCTAAAGGCCCCGATCATGAGTGAGCGCGGAGGCTGGGCGCGCACCGCAGCTGCGTGCGGACAGCGCGGTCTGAGTCCCGCTCCCACGGCTGGCGGCGGAGTGGCGAGCGGCCACCGCCCCGCGAGGGCAGTTTCGGTCAAGGGACGGGGCCGTCTTCCACC